GGCTGAAGTACAGTGGGCAGTCACAGCTTGGCTCACTGTAGCCTTGAGCTCCTGCGCTCTGTATGTTTTCAAAAGACATAAAAAATTATGGATGAAATTGGAAAAAAAAAAAAAAAAAAGAAATTATGTACCTAAAGAACTTGGCACAGTGCCCGGCACAGGCAAAGCAACTGGTAATTGTCAGCTAATTTTTTTATTTTTGAAATAATTTTAGATTTACAGCAGACTTATAAAGATAGCAGAGACATTTCTTGTATATCCACTCAGCTTTCTCTGATGTTACCTTCTTACGTAACCTTGCTACATTTATCAAAGAAATTAACATTGCTGTACACACTATTAACTAAACCACAAACATTATTTGGATTTCACCAGTTTTTCCACTTATGTTATTTTTCTGTTCCAGGATCTAATCCAAGGCCAGGTGTAGTGGCTCACTCCTGTAATCTCAGCACTTTGGGAGGCTGAGGCAGGCGGATCATTTGAGGTCAGGAGTTCAAGACCAGCCTGACCAACATTTGTGAAACCCTGTCTCTACTAAAAAAATAAATAAATGAAAAACAATTTTTTAAAAATCGAGCCTTCAGGCACGATGGCACGTGCCTGTAGTCCCAGCTATTTGGGAGGCTGAGGTGGGAGGATTGCTTGAGCCCAGGAGTCCTGGGCTGTAGTGCGCTATGCCGATCGGGTGTCCGCACTAAGTTCAGCATCAATATGGTGACCTCCTGGGATCGGGGGGGCCACCAGGTTGCCTAAGGAGGGGTTAACCGGCCCAGGTTGGAAATGGAGCAGGTCAAAATTCCCGTGCTGATCAGTAGTGGGATTGCGCCTGTGAATAGCCACTGCACTCCAGCCTGGGCAACGTAGCAAGACCACGTCTCTAAAAGAAAAAAATAAATAAAATTAAGCTGGGTGGGGTGACTCACACCTGTAGTTCCAGAACTTTGGGAAGCCAAGGTGGGTGGATCACCTGATGTCAGGAGTTCAAGACCAGCCTGGCCAACATGGTGAAACCCCATCTCTACTAAAAATACAAAAATTAGTCGGGCGTGATGGCAGGCACCTATAATCCCAGCTACTTGGGAGGCTGAGGCAGGAGAATTGCTTGAACCTGGGAGGCAGAGGTTGCAATAAGCTGAGATTGTGCCACTGCACTCCAGCCTGGGCGATAGAGCAAGACTCCATCTTAAAAGAAAAAACAAACAAAAAAAACCCAGGATCCAATCCAGGATACCACCTTGCCTTTAAGTTAGCTAATTTTTACTCATTCGTCCATTTATTCAATGCACTGAGAATGCTGTCCGATTTTAGTCCAAGACTGGAGCCCAGGCACTATGTGCTGTGATGATGATTGATCTGTGATTTATTATTTATTTATTTATTTTATTATTTTTATAAAAGAGATGGAGTCTTGACACATTGCCCAAACCGGTCTCGAACTCTTGGGCTCAGGCGATCCTCCTGCCTCGGCCTTCCAAAGTATGGGGATTACAGGTCTGAGGCACTGCATCCAGCCACAGCTATCATTTCTGGGAACTCACCACATATTGTGCAAAACACTTTTCTATATGCCCCACTTAATCCTTATAACAATCCTATGTGGTGGCTGTCATAAATCCTGTGTTATGGATAGATATGGAGAGATTAACTGAGATCATACATCTGACAAGAGGCAGAGATAGATTTGAACCCAGAGTCTGGCTCCAAAGTCATGGTCTTCACAAAACACAACTCCTTTCACAAGGCTGCTGTCTAGAAGAGGGATATACAGTATTACAGGCTTCCCTGGGTGAGTGTGGCAGACAGGGAGGCATCCCAGGGGTAGTGCCAGTCTGAAGCTCAGCCTCGATTTCCTCGGTACTTGGTGTATGTTTGGCTTTCCCGCCACCCACCTCCCCATGGTTTCCTTCAGTCTCCCCCTGCAGCCCCAGATTCTGCACCCAATCCACAGAGCCCCAAGTAGGTGACCTGCTAGAACCCAGGCCCCAGGCCCAGAGTGTGGCTTTGTCACAGCCTCAGTGCACCCACCCCAGCTGGCAGGGACAGGCTGCTGCCCATACTCAGATGAAGATGACTGGCTTCTGGAGCCACTACGTTGGGTCCCACTGATGGTGATGAGCAAGAAACAGCAACAAGCACTGAGCTGTCAGGTGGAGAAGGGACCCAAGGGAATTGGGATGGGCAGGTGAGACTGCTGAGCTGGGACTGGCTTTGTCTACTAGAGAATCAGACTCCACCACCCCCAGGGTGAATTGAAAACAGTCTTCCATTCCTAGGGTGAGGAGCCCAGGAGTGTTTACACCTGCCTGGTGGGGCCTGGGCCCTGTGACTAAGCTGAATATTGCTGCACCAGCCTTCCTGCATCCTCCACCTAGGACATACATATAGCCTCTGGAAAAGACCCAGAGAGCACCTGAGGCAGCCAACAGCAACGTGGGATTGGGATCAAGTGCTGCAGAGAATTTGGGAGAGCAGAAACACTAAAGGAGAGAGGAGGCAGAGGATACAACCCTGAGCAACCTTGACATTGAAGGGCCCGCCAAAGGAGGCAAGGGGCCAGGTGCAGTGGCTCACACCTGTAATCCCAGCACTTTGGAAGACTGAGGCAGGAGAATCACTTGAGTCCAGGAGTTCAAGACCAGCCTGGACAACCTAGTTGAGACCTTGTCTCTACAAAAAATTAAAAAATTAATTGGGCATGATGGCTCACACCTGTGGTCCCAGCTACTCGGGAGGCTGAGATGAAAGGATCACTCGAGTTGGGGTGCAGGGGTCAAGACTGCAGTGAGCTGATTGTGCCACTGCACTCCAGCCTGGGCCACAGAGACCCTGTCTCAAAACAACCAGAAACCCCCAAAACGCACACATACACAAACAAAGAAGGCAAGAGCTCACTAAAAGCAGCAAGAGAGGTAGAGGAAAGCAGCCCATTTAATCCTCATAAATACCTTGAGTTTTTATGATCTATTTATAGGTGACGAACTGGGGGAGGGGGGACTTTATTGTTTTATTTTATGTTGTGCTAAGATAAGAACTTAGAAACTCAGAGTTGTTCTGTTCCATCATATAACCGTCCTCTGCCTAGTATTTCTGGTGTGCTTCCTTCCCAACCCCATCATCCTCTTGTTTAATGCTCTTATTTGTTAGGCGTCTAATTTTAAGCCGTCCTTCTGAAAGCAGAGTGTTAATGAGAAGACTGATTGGTTTCAAGAGAAGCTATTTGTGCACAGTGAATTTTGATAGTCGGCTCTGGGTAGGATGGGCATGGAAAGAATGGCGATACGTTCAACTTGGGTCTTTTTTTTTTTGAGACAGAGCCTTGTTCTGTTGCCAGGCCGGAGTGAGTGCAGTGGTGTGATCTCGGCTCACTGCAACCTCCATCTCCCAGGTTCAAGTGATTCCCCTGCCTACAGGTAAGTGCCACCATGCCCCGCTAATTTTTTGTATTTTAGTAGAGACAGGGTTTCACCATGTTGGCCAGGATGGTTTTGATCTCCTGAACTCATGATCCACCCACCTTGGCCTCCCAAAGGGCTGGGATTACAGGCATGAGCCACCGCGCCTGGCTGAACTTGGGTCTTTATCAGGCAACCTAACTCTTGCCTGAGGATGCAAGGAGGAAAAATGAGGACGAGGTCATCTAATCCTCACACTTGTACCCTGCGCCTTCCTCCTGCACCCAAGGCAGATTTCACGAATTATTCCCACCTGTCCTCCTTCCTCATGGACTCAGACCCCTCCCCCTGGCTGCTATCCCACTGAATCAGAGTTGGCAAGCCATCTGGAACCTTGTGATCATCCCAAGAGTAAGCCGCTGCCCCACAGACCACCAAACAATCGCCTGTGTTTATGACGATGAACATTTTATTATAGAGACAGACTGAACTCACTTTTGCATAAAGACTCTCTAGATTGGGTCAGGGAAATTCACCTGCTAAAAGGTCACCACCCAGCTATCCCTGCCTCTGCCTCAGCCCCCACTTGCTGTTTACATTTCAGGGTCACTAGAAACAGCAGAGGCTGCTGTCTCCAGGGCCAGGCTGGTGGAGTGGGGCCACGCTGGATGGAGGATCAGGGATCCTGGCTGCCTGCCAGGTCAGAGCCGCCCCGTCTCTTGCCCCAATCGGTTGTCCAGAACCTGGAGCTGCCGGAGGAAGCCTGAGTTAGGGCAGATATTGCGGTGGGCCTGCACCGTCTGGATAGCCTCTACCAGCGTCATGTTCTCGTAGATCATGAGGTAGGCCAGGACAAGCGTGGCAGAGCGGCTTACCCCCATGGCACAGTGTACCAGCACACGGCCTGTGGGGAGAACCAACCTAGCATCAGCTACCTGCCCTTGAACCGCCCATCCCTTTGGGAAGAAGGGACACCCATGACCATCCTCCACAGCATACTGGAACACTAACACTGTCTTCCCCGTCAAATGGGGTAACTGAAGCCTGGAGAGAGGAAACTGGCTCAAAGTCACATCGCAAGTTAGTGGCAGGATTAGGTTTAGGTTAGCAGCTGTGATTTCCTTCTCCCCGTCCAGGTACTTCCTCAGGCATCCTTTGCAACTCTGGGCCAGGGGAAGGGGCTTCACTGAATTCCTGGGGTCCCTGGGTTTGCATTGGATTACAGGCAGGGTCCATCTACCTCCCTTTCCCTCAAGTTCTGCCCTCTCCCCTGCCCCTGCAGCTCTATGCCAAGGCCTCAACTTAGAGGAGCCGCTCAAGAGTTTCTCTGGGTCCTGTACCTGTCCATTGTCTGGCCCCTTAGGGATGTGGCGATGCTGATGACCCCACTAGATCTTAGTCATGCCTGTGATTGCTGGTCTCCAGGGTGTCCCTGAAGGGGACACTCACGGAATAGTAGTAGCTATTTGCCCCATGGAGTGAGATGGTTGCTGAAAAGATTTGTTTCTCTGGACTCCCACCCACCAGTGCTACTGGAAAAATGCAGAGTCCCAAAGCACACCCCAACACCCTCCGCCCCCCACCATGCCTGCCCTAGAAGTGCACCTTGGGGAAGACTGAGGGCAGCTCGGATGTATCGAGCAACAGGCAGAAAGTAGACACTGAGGTCAAAGAAGGGGTTGTCATCGGCCTCAATGCCATAGTACTCCAAGGACATTCCGCGGTAGAACTTGGCACCTGTGTCCACCTGGAATTTGCCTGCAGCGGCATTCACGATGTGGGTGATTCCCAGCTGGGTCAGCTTGCTCTTGTCCCGGGCTGCGTACCTGCAGGGGAGGGTACAAGGGGTTAGGAGGGTGGAGGCAGATCTCACTGGGGCAGCTCTGGCTAGGCTGAAGTTTGCAAACACCCCTGCCCACCACCCATCAAGGGTAAAGACAAGAGCCTGTGAGTTGGCCCAGGTGAAGGAGCTCCCCCCATTGGCATTTAAGACTCCTTTTTGGGCTGGGCACTGTGGCTCACGCCTGTAATCCCAGCACTTTCGGAGAACAAGGTGGGTGCATCACCTGAGGTCAAGAGTTCAAGACCAGCCTGGCCAACATGGTGAAAACCCATCTCTACTAAAAATACAAAAATTAGCTGGGCATAGTGGCAGGCACCTGTAGTCCCAGCTATCTGGAAGGCTGAGTCAGGAGAATTGCTTGAACCTGGGAGACAGAGGTTGCAGTGAGCCAAGATTGCACCGCGGCACTCCAGCTTGGACAACAGTGCGAGACTCCATCTCAAAAAAAAAAAAACAAGACTCTGCTGAACACGGGGGCTCATGTCTATAATCCCAGCACTTTGGGAGACCAAGGCAGGCAGATCACGAGGTCAAGGAGTTCAAGAGCAGCCCGGCCAGCATGGTGAAACCCCGTCTCTACTAAAAATACAAAAATTAGCCAGGTGTGGTGGCAGGCACCTGTAATCCCAGCTACTTAGGAGACTGATGAAGGAGAACTGCTTGAACCCTGAACCTGGGGGGCAGAGGGTGCAGTGAACCAAGATTGCTCCACTGCACTCCAGCCTGGATGACAGAGCAAGACTCCATCTTGAATTTAAAAAAAAAAAAAAAAAGAAGAAGACTCCTTTTCAGGCTAGGCACTGTGGCTCACCCCTGTAATCCCAACACTTTGGGAGACCGAGGCAGGAGGATTGCCTGAGCTCAGGAGTTCAAGACCAGCCTGGGCAACATGGCAAAACCTAATCTCTACAAACAATACAAAAATTAGCCAGGTATAGTGGGACATGCCATTATTCCCATCCACTTGGGAGGCTGAGGTAGGAGAATCACCTGAGCCTGGGAGGTTGAGGCTGCAGTGAGTGAAGATTGTACTCCTAGGCTCCAGCCTGGGTGGCAGAGTGAGACCCTGCCTCAAAAAAAAAAAAAAAAAAAAAAAAAGAAAGAAAGAAAGAAAAATTAGCTAGGTGTGGTGGTGCACACCTTTATACACAGCTACTTGAGAGGCCGAGGTGGGAGAATTGCTGAGCCTAGGAATTTGAGGTTGCAGTCAATGATGATAATCACTGCACTCCAATCTAGGCAACAGAGTGAGACCTTGCCTCTAAATAAATAAATAAATATGTAAAAGCAAAATATTACTAGGATCACTGTTCATAATAGTCAAAAAGTAGAAACAATTCAAATGTCCATATGCAGTAAAATGGATAAACTGTGGCATAATCATATAATGAAATCTACAGCAGTGAAAAAATGAATGAACTGCAGATACACATAATAACGTGAGTGACTCACAAATTTGAGCAAATGATACCAAGCACAAAACACACACAATATGATTCCACTCATATAATTTTAAACAACAGGTGGCAATAACTACACTAAGTATATAGGTAGTAAAACTTTAAAGAAAAACAGGGAAATAATTAATCCAACAGATAGTGATTAACCACAGAGAATAGAAAAGTTATAATGAAAAAGATTCAGTATTAAGCTGGGCACAGTGGCTCATGCCTGTAATCCTAGGACTTTGGGGGGCCGAGGTGGGTGGATCACCTGAGGTCAAGAGTTCAAGACCAGCCTGGCCATCATTGTGAAACCCCATCTTAAAAAAAAAAAAAAGAAAAGAAATAAAAAGATTCAGTAGAGGCTTCTGGGAGACAAGTAATGTCCTTTTTCTTTACTCGGTGATGAAGCTGTTCATACATGCTCTGTGCACATTTCTTTTTTTTTCTTTTTTTTTTTTTCAGATGGAGTTTCAAAAAAGTCCTGTTGCCCAGACTGGAGTACAGTGGCGTGATCTCAGCTTACTGCAACCTCCACCTCCCAGATTCAAGGTATTCTCCTGCCTCAGCCTCCTGAGTAGCTGGGATTACAGGCATCTGCCACCACACCCTACTAATATTTTGTATTTTTAGTAGAGATGGGGCCAGGCTGGTCTCGAACTCCTGACTTAAGTGACCCACTTGTCTCAGCCTCGCAAAGTGCTGGGATTAAAGAAAGGCATGAGCCAGGCCGGGCACGGTGGCTCAAGCCTGTAATCCCAGCACTTTGGGAGGCCGAGGCGGGTGGATCACAAGGTCGAGAGATCGAGACCAACTTGGTCAACATGGTGAAACCTCGTCTCTACTAAAAATACAAAAAATTAGCTGGGCATGGTGGCGCGTGCCTGTAATCCCAGCTACTCAGGAGGCTGAGGCAGGAGAATTGCCTGAACCCAGGTGGCGGAGGTTGCGGTGAGCCAAGATCGCGCCATTGCACTCCAGCCTGGGTAACAAGAGCGAAACTCCGTCTCAAAAAAAAAAAAAAAAAAAAAAAAAGAAAGGCATGAGCCACCATGCCCAGCCCTGTAAATGCACACACTTTTCTTAAGTGCATTCTAGTTCACTGTTAAAAGCAGTGATAATATAAAAGGAAAGAAAAATAGGGAAAGAGATGATGGGAGGCAAGGGTGTCCCCTCTGCCCTGGAGGGCTCTGGGAGAGGCTCATACCTCCATTCCCATGTGAACCTCACACCCTTCTGCCACCCCCACTCCTAACGTGTGTCTTACTCACGCATCTCCCAGGAAGAGGCTGGGCCAGACCTCATTGATGTGGTTCAGCGTGGCAGACTGACGGACCCACAGCAAGCGCTGCAGTGAAGCCAACGTGGGCGGCTGATACGGGGCCCCCCGGGCTGCCCTGTGGATCTTGGGCCTCCGGAGGTCCTGCTTCTGCAGTGAGTCCATCCTGGAACAGAGTGGACACCACAGTGACTGGAGGCAGGCTCCCCGAGAGTGGATCCAGCTGATGGGGAGGCCCATGGTGCAGTGCCCAGGTGCCACAGGGATGCTGCGGGAAGGGCCTCAGCTATTTCACATGAGTTATTAACAAGCTCAGCTGGGACTGGGGCCTAGAACCCTTCCCCAGCGAGCCAGGGAATCAATCCTTTGTCACTGCGGTGGAGCTGGGCAGACTTCTCCCCGGCCCTCTGCTGAGTTGCAGATGTATGAAGCTTTGGCCAAGGGAGCCTTGGAGTTCCCTACTGGTGGCACTAGTCAGGGCAGATCTCACCCCTCAGTCAGCTTAGACTTTGTAGGGATGAAAGCCCCAGATGGCTGTGGCTCTCAGGGCACCCAGGAAGGCCCGCAACCAACCTAGGCAGCTCATTTCAAGTCCCTCATCTGCTACTTCTAGTGCTCATCCTCAGACCCCTGTCCCCCCACCACTCTCAGGTGCTTGGAGATCAGAGCCCATCTCCAGGTAAGAGGCCAGGGCTGTGAGCTGGTATTTGTTAATGAGCTAATGCCTCTTATAAGCCTGATGCCTCTGGCTGGGCACTTTGGGAGGCCGAGGCAAGCAGATCACGTGAGGTCAGGAGTTCGAGACCAGCCTGGCCTATGGCAAAACTCTATCCAAAATACAAAAATTAGCCAGGCATGGTTGTCCACTCCTGTAGTCCCAGCTACTTGGAAGGCTGAGGCAGGGCAACTGCTTAGACCTGTGAGCGAGAGCTTGCAGTGATCTGAAATCACACCATGACACTCCAGCCTGGGCGACAGAGAGAGACTCCGTCTAAACAGCAACAAAAAGCCTGATGCCTCACTTGTGGCATGTCCATCTCTGTTTTACCCAGGAGGAAGCTGAAGCTCAGAATGTTTAAAAAGTGACACCCAAAGCCATATAGCTCATGAGTAGCAAGGCTGGGGTTTTAGTCTATCCCCAAGTCTTTAGTTACCATTTTTGGGGCCTCCGGAGAGTCATCACTAACCCTTCTGCTTCCTCAGGGGAGCCTGGCACTGCGGAGCCACACACCTGCCTGTAGGCCCCAGGTTTTCCTCCTTACCCCCACGACTCAGGCCAGCGCTGGGTGTCAGGCCCCACCCGGGTCGGATGGCTTGTTTCAAGCATCAGCTGGCTGAAGGAGTCCGGGACCCTGCGGAGCTGGATTTTCAGGGGCACCAGAACGTGGGCCCGGCGCCGTGTTGGAGAGGAGGGGCTTTCTTTGCTAACTGCTCCTGATCCCTTGGACCAGTGACTAGGGAAGGTGCATACAGGGAAGAATATCTTTTCCCTTTGGTAGGTAGTGCCAGGACCAGAAAGATAAACGGGTACCCAGGAGTCTGCCGACTTGGCCAGGCTCACCCAGTGGGAGGCTGTTGGGCAAGGCGGAAGCGAAGACCCAGTTGTCCTCCTCATCCCCCACTGTGACCTCTCCAGGCAGGCTGAGTGGCCTGCCACCTACCTAGGGCATGGTCTGGGGCCGGGCATAGGGGAGTGGGTGCAGGGCAGGACTCTGCCTGAGCAGAACAGGGCTGGGCAGGTTCCGCCCAGAACACAGACACTGTGAAGCGGCTAGAATTCCAGGTGCTGGCCAGGGCACCCGTGAGAGCTGACCGTGCGTGGCCTTGTGGACTGGGGTGGGCCCTTCAGTCCCTCCAAATCCCCAGGCCTCCTCTCTGTTTGGTATCTCTTTGGGATTGAAGACTCTTGGCTCCATAACCCCCCATGAAGATGGGAGGCTACCTGAAGATGTGCGAAGAGAGCTTCAGAGGCAGGGAGGAGAGCCTGGCTCCCCTGGGACTCTGCCATGACTCATTCTGTGGCCACGAGCAAGTCTTTGCCCCCATCTCGACCATGGTTTATCTTCCCATGCTAGGGATCCTGGACTTGCCTTTCAGGATGCTCTGGGGATCAGACCAGAGAATGAGAGAGGAGTGTCTGGATGTGTGGTCATTGCAGAGCAGAGGGCAGTGTGGTATGGTGGAGGATAAGCCCCTGGGCCCCAGGGGAGTCCAACAGCCACACTAGTTTGGAGCCACCAGGGGGGGCTGCACCACCCCAGGCGGAAGATGGGGCTTTGGGAAGTGGGACAGGCGCTGGGGAGCTTGGCATGGTGTGAGGCTGCCCCCCGGTGGCCAAAGGGTGTCTTGCAGCTCAGCCGTGCCCGGGAGCAGCAGGCAGGCTCCCGCTAGGACAGAGCTGGACCCCACACCCCCAGGAGGCTCCAGAGGGGCCAAGGATTTGGGGGCTGATAGGCCACACTGTATGCCTCTGCCTCCGAGGGGACCTAAGCCCAGGTCTAAAGAACGGGGCTCTCCCCTGGACTCAGCCCTACTCCTGCTCAGGTTCCACCTAAGCCCTGGCTCCTGGTGCTCAGGACATAGCCACACCTGTCCGCTCTAATCCACTGAGGGCCCGCCTTATCCCATCAGCCGGAGTCAGGCCCAGCCATCCGCCCAGGGACTCATCCTTCAAACCCCAGGCCCTCCCAAGGAGGGGAAGTCAGCGGCTGTGGCAGCTCCCCTGGTTTCTGTGACCCAAGACATGGTCCTTGGAGGGCCTTGCCTGACACTGCCTTCTGTGTCTCCTCGGGCCCCAGCAGCGGGAAGCACAGGCCCAACATGGAGCAGAGCCAGGGCCCGGCCAGACTCCCCTCCCACTCCCTGCAGCCTTCATTCTCTCCCTGGTCCCACGCTCCTCCTTACCCGCTTCCTGCCTCCGCTGCTCAGCGGAGCAGCTGCCTCTGTAGGCAGGGCTTTTTCCTGTCCAGCTCCTGCGCTGCTGCTGTTTGCAAGTCCACGTACTTGTTTTCTGTCTCTGTCTCTCCTCCCTGGGTCACTCCCGCATTTGCCCCTGTCTCCCACCACCCCGCCCCCCAGGAAGCTCATGAGCCTTCGAAGCCTCCCGTGACACTGCCCTGGGTGCCCACAACTTCAGGCCAAGGCACAGGCTTCCTTGGGGCAGGGGGCAGCTGCTTCCCATCCACCTCTCAGCTGCAGCTTCAGATGGTCCCTGGACTTGCTTCCTGCCCACCCTTTCTGACTCCACTCAAGAGGGGCCAATCAGGAGTGTGGCCACAGGCCATGTGGGGCTGGAGATCTCAGTGCAGGACCAGTCAAGAGCCTGGCCTGCAGAAGGGTGGTATATGGCTGCCAGTGGGGAACAGATGTGGGTCTCTGTGCTCAGCCTGTGGGCCTTGGGGAGGGCGGCCCTGGGCAGAATTCTCAGGTCCGGTACTGGCATCTGTGTGGTCTTCACTGGGCCGGTTTCTTCAGTGGGTCTGCTGTGAGAATCCCATGTAATAATGAATGTAAACCGCCTCCCACAGGCGGTTGTGAGATGCCCAATAAATGGTGCATCTTACTATTATTATCACTACTATAATTACGCTTACCCTTTCCAGCCCCAGACATATCCTAGGTGGAGGGCAACTCCCCTGTGGGACAGTAAGGTTTTGTCTCTATTTTTGTATTTCCTGTCTCTTTCTCTATCCAGCCATAATTATTTAGCACTTACCAAGGATGTACCACGTGCCAGACAGAGCTAGGTGGTTACATTTTCTCACTGAACACTCACAGTGCCTTTATGAAGTAGGTAATATTATCATCCCCATTTTACAGATGAGGAAACTGAGAATCAGAGAGGTTAAGCAACATACCCAAAGTCACATAGCCAATTGATGTGGGAGTAAGGATTCAAGCCCAGGTCTTTCTAACTCTACTATACATTGCCTGCGCTTTCATTTCTGATCCAGTTGGTTCCCCACCCAACACAAACCCCACCCCTCCCAAGTGTCCTGGCCCTCATTACTCAGCATGCTTAGGAACCCCCCCGCCCCTGCAATTAGGGGCACTCACCTACCTGTGAGAGTATCTGGCCCAGGCTGTGCACTTCTCTGACGGGCAGTTTGTGCTGCCGGCTTTCAGCTGCCTGTCTCCACACACTTGATGCTGCTTCTATTTTTGGACTTGAGTTTAATTATAAAGCATGCTGTCTGCTCCCCTCTTCCATCCTCCCCTGCCTCTCCCAACTTGTCCACTGGTTCCCTGGCATGGTCAGTGCCAAGCCCAGCCAGGCACCTTTCCCTCCAGGCCCAGGCTTCAGTCCTAGCCCTGCTAAGAGTCAAGGCAGCTCGGCCCAGGTCTGACTGTGGCCTATTGCATACATGCATGTTGATTGTGGGAGAAGGAAGATCAAATAAACCATTTTTAAAGGCCCCTTGGCCAGGTGCAGTGGCTAATGCCTATAATCCCAACACTTTGGGAGGCTGAGGTGGGAGGATTGCTTGAGCCTAGGAGTTTGAGACCAGCCTAGGCAATATGGCCAGACGGTATCTACTAAAAATACAAAAAATTAGCCAGTTGTAGTGGCACACACTTGTAGTCCCAGCTACTCGGGAAGCTGAGGTGGGAGAATCACCTGAGCCCAGAAAGCTGAGGCTGCAGTGAGCCCTGATCCCTGCCTGTACCACTGTGCTCCAGCCTGGGCAACCGGAGTGAAACCCTCTCCCTTGGCCTTTAAGGGTATTACGGAAGAAGGGCAAAAAGTGTAAGCTGGAAGGATGTGAAGGAGGATAGTGAAGAGATCAGCCAAAAATCACACGCAAACTGGTGGCATTGCCAACAGCAGAACCCAAGTCCAGGGGCCCTCAGTTAGGGGCCAAGGATGATGGACTGGCCCAGGATAAAGACCTAGAAGACTCAGGCTGAGGGAAAGCGGCACAGGCCCGCAAACAGACACAGGTGTGGAGCAGGTCTTCAGACAGCCCTGGGCTGCAGGCAGAAGCGGTATGTCCAGGGCTGCCCCTAACCTCTGCCAAGCTCCTCCCACAAACCCAAAGGGCAGGGACACCTAGGCCCCACTGTCCCCTGAAGCCAGAGAGATGGTTTTATTGTTTTGTTTTGTGACAGTCTCACTGTGTCGCAAGGCTGGAGTGCAGTGGCGCAATCTCGGCTCACTGCAACCTCCACCTCCTGGGTTCAAGTGATTCTCCTGCCTCAACCTCTGGAGTAGCTGGGATCACAGGTGAGCACCATCATGCCTGGCTAATTTTTTTGTGTTTTCAGTAGAGACCGGGTTTCACCATATTGGTCAGGCTGGTCTTGAACTCCTGACCTCATGATCCACCTGCCTCCCAAAGTGCTGGGATTACAGGCATGAGCCACTGCACCTGGCCAAGAGATGGGCTTTAAGGTCTCTTCCCAGGCTAACTGTGGTCAGCTGGGGACCTTCAATTGGGCCCATCAGAAACCTCTCTCATCCACAGACTCTTTTTTTGGGGGGGGGGGAGACGGAGTTTCGCTCTTGTTACCCAGGCTGGAGTGCAATGGCGCGATCTTGGCTCACCGCAACCTCCGCCTCCTGGGTTCAGGCAATTCTCCTGCCTCAGCCTCCTGAGTAGCTGGGATTACAGGCACACACCACCATGCCCAGCTAATTTTTTGTATTTTTAGTAGAGACGGGGTTTCACCTTGTTGACCAGGATGGTCTCGATCTCTCGACCTTGTAATCCACCCGCCTCGGCCTCCCAAAGTGCTGGGATTACAGGCTTGAGCCACCGCGCCCGGCTCATCCGCAGACTCTTGTCATATACCCATACCTTGACACTACTCCCCACCTGCACTCCCAGCTGATGAGGACAGGACACACCCATGCTCACAGCCACACCACTGGGTCTCTGAAGTCTGAGCTCCAGGGAACTAAGGCTCAGCCCCTCTTGGGGCTCCCTGACCCCTGAGGGGAGGTGCTGGAGGCAGCTGTGGCCAACAGCTATCACGAATACCTAGAACCCCCTTCCTCTCTCCTCCCTACCCCATTCCCCCAGGGAACTTGGGGCCCCTAGCCAAGAAGCCTGAGGGCTTGGCTGAGAGGGGAGCCCACTCCCACCTGTGGAGAGCCGAAGACAGTAGCTGAGAGGGGGTGCAGGCACCAGGAGGAACCGGAGGGAGGAGCAGGCTCTAGGGCGGACCCCACACTGGGCTCCCACCGTCTTCTGTGTGTCTGCCTGGGCCAGAGCCTCCAGCAGCACCAGCAGGACCAGTGCCAGGGCGGCAAAGTGGCAAAGCCCCATGGCAGGGAGTAAGGACCGGCTCTGGAAGAGATGAGCTCTGTGTTACAGGCAGGTGAACCAAGGCCCAACCTTTTGGGGCAGAGATAAGAGCTGTCACCTAAACCTGCTTCTGCCTTGAGCCCTGCACACAAGGTCAAGTGAGTGCAGCTGCTGGGAGAGCTGAGGAGGTAAATTTGGTATCCATGGCTTAGGGACAGAGATGACTCTCCCCATGGGCCCCTTGTCTTTCAGAGTCCCTAGATCCAGAGCTGCTGTGTACAGTTGTACAGGCTGCACACTGCGCAACTCCTAGGGCCTCCAGTTGCACAATTTGGTGGATGACACCCCAGTGAATTGTGCAGTGCTGCACTCCTGCCCAGCCAGCTCCCTCAAAGTCAGCTCCCGGTTGGGAAAGATACTGAGATCAGAGGTCAGGGTGCCTAAGGCCCCAGGCTGAGGGAGAGGGACGACTGGAAGTGGTCTGAGATCTGCTGCTCTGCCAGATTCCTGGATCCTGTCTAGAGGAGAGACAGCAGACTGGGAATTTGCCATTCTACAGGGAGCATGCCCCCCTCACACCCCAGATCCACAGAGCTCCATGCCACAGCTTGGCCCCAGGCCAATCCCAAGCCCAGCTATAACCCAAAGTTTCTGATCACACTCACCCCCAAACTCTAAACTTAGCCCCAGAGACTTCCCTAATCCTCCACCCCAAGACGCTCATCCTCCAGCCAGCACATGGGAAGGGCTCCACAATGCTGGAGGGCCTCCCTTCTGGTGGGGCTGGCTATGCCTTCAGAGACATGGGTGGGAGGCAGGGAGAGAGTCAGGCCCTATCCCGGGAGGTTTCTGGGAGGAAAAAGCTGCTGCTGTTCCAGCTCCCAAGCACACCCAGGGTAGTCACTCCTCCCCAAATGGCAGCTCCTCTGCAGTAGGGTGGCAGGGACAGCCAAAGACAGGGTTGAGGTGAGACAGGGAACGAGCTGGAAGGGACGCAGAGCTGGAGGCAGGCCCTGGGGGGTCGGGAGCTGCCCTTGGAGGCCTGGCCTCAGCTCATGGATGAGAATTAGCTAAGCCGGGAAGGTTTTCTGTGCGGCACTGTATCTGGGGTCCAGACCTCAGGGGAACGGGATGTGGAGGTGCGGGAGGGTCCAGGCTGGCTGTGCAGATGCCTCGGTGGGATTTAGGGGAGCCCCCACAGGCTTTCGACTGAGGCACGGCAGGTCGGCGCCAGGACCAGGTAGGAAGAGCTCCCCTCTTCCATTCTACGCTTCCCATGCCCTCGTGTCCTAATCCTTCTCTTCTCTTTGGGGTGTGAAGGACCTGGGTGGGGTGGGGGAGACAGGTTGGGGGTCCTATAGGAGAATTGCCTAGGCTGGGCCCTTGGGTGATACCTTGGGTAGGTGAAGAGAACCCAGCAGCTTGGGGAGCAGGCCAGGCCCCCTTTAATCCTCATTTCCAGCCACGCGCAGCCCTGCTAACCATTCCCGGAAGAACCCAACCCTATAAGCCCTCACCTGGCCTTTTCCTGGCAATCACATCCAGCTTTGCCCCCTGAGACCTCACCTGGGCCCTCAGCTCTGGCTGGCACCCCGCAGTTGCTGATCCAGCCTGCAGAGCTGGTGCAGGAAGCCTCGGTTGGGGAAGACCCATCGGTGCTGCCTCACGGTGATCACTGCCTGGCGCAGGGACAGCTGCTGGTGCAGCATGAGATAGGCCAGGACCAGCGTGGCAGAGCGGCTCACACCCACCACACAGTGCACCAGGACCTTGGCTGAGGAAGACATCCTAGTGAAAGACCCTCTCCCACCAGCAGGCCCACCCACGGGCTGGGATGGGGACCCAAGTTCCTGTCCTGACCCTGCCTTGGCACACTCTGTGATCCTCAGCAAGTCACTCAGCCTTTATAGGCTTGGTTTTCTGATCGGTGAAATGGGTAGATCAACACCTGTTCTGCCTACCCTTGGGATAGGGTCCAAATTTTTTTTTCTCTTTTCTTTTCTTTCCTTTTCTCTATCGTTCCTTCCTTCGTTCCTTCCTTCCTTCCTCTCTCTCTCTCTCTCTCTCTTTCCTTCTTTCCTTCTTTCTTTCTTTCTTGTAGAGATAAGGTCTCGCTACGTTGCCCAGGCTGGTCTTGAGCTCCTGAACTTAAGCCATTCTCCCACCTTGTTCTCCCACCTTGTCCTCCCAAACTGCCGGCATTACAGGCGTGAGCCACTGCTCCTAGCTTCCTAACTTTTTGTTTTGTTTTGTTTGTTTTTGAGATGGAGTTTCACTCTTGTTGCCCAGGCTGGAGTGCAATATCATGATCTTGGCTCACTGCAACCTCCGCCTCCCAGGTTCAAACAATTCTCCTGCCTTAGCCTCCCAAGTAGCTAGGATTACAGGCATGCACCACCATGCCTGGCTAATTTTGTATTTTTCATAAAGACGGGGTTTCTTCATCTTCTCCATGTTGGTCAGGCTGGTCTCAAACTCCTAACCTCAGGTGATCCACCCGCCTCAGCCTCCCAAAGTGCTGGGATTACAGGCGTGAGCCACTGTGCCCAGCCTCCAAACTTCTTAACATAGCTTGTAAGACTCTTCAAGAGCTGGCCCCTGCAGCCTTATCTCAGACCATCCCTAACCTACCTTCAGCTCAAGGAATGTGGAGGAACCTGCATTTCCTTGAACCTGCAGTTCCTCTGACCTCCAGCCTTACCACATGCTATTCCAAACACCTGCAAACCCTCTCCCCTGATCTTCATCTGACTAACTTCTACTACTCATCCACCATGTTTCTGCTGAGACGTGGCTTCCTCCACAGGCTTTCTTGACCGCTCAAAGTATTGCTTGAATCACAGAGCGGCTCATCTTTTTTGCATATGACCCACGAATACCTTTGTAGAGGGAAGTCCCCCGCTACCTTCCTAATCTTCTGGGCTGAGCACCCCCGCTGTGTGCTCCCAGAGCTCTCCACACTGGTCCACTCCTAGGAGGAGCTCTCACTATACTATTCACCATTTGACTGCCTTTCCACCAGTTCCAAGAGGGCAGGGACCCTGCTTCTTTAAGTCTGGATTCCCAGTATTTAGCTCAGTGCCAAGCACATAGTGGATACTAAGTAAATAGCTGGTGAATCAATGGATAAAGAACAAAAGTATGTCAAAGTGCTTTGGATATTAAAAAGTCATGTGAGCTGTGATCTTGTCATTCCTGTCACATAGATGAGGAAACTGAAATCCTGAGAGGGACACTGGCTTGCCCAGGATCACATAGCAAGGGACATAGCTGTCTTCTAGGATGGACACAAAGCCAGGACACCGGCCTCCCTGGGTTCCTTTGCTGTATCCTGAGTATTTGAAGATATACTTCTTTTTTAGTTAAAAGTACTTTGGGGGCTGGGTGCGGTGGCTCACGCCTGTAATCCCAGCACTTTGGGAGGCCAAGGCGGGCAGATCACTTGAGGTCAGGAGTTTGAGACCAGCCTTACCAACATGGTAAAACCCTAGCTCTGCTAAAATACAAAAATTAGCCAGACGTAGTGGTGGACGCCTGTAGTCCCAACTACTTGGGAAGCTGAGGCACGAGAATTGGTTGAACCCGGGAGGCAGGGGTTGAACCCAGGAGGTGGAGGAGCTGAGATAGAGCCACTGCACTCCAGCCTGGGCGACAGTGAGACTCTTGTCTCAGGGAAAAAAAAAAAGAAGAAGAAGAAAGAAAGTCCTTTGGGGCAGACATCTAGGTACCAAATGGTGCTTTCCCAAAGCTGAGTGTTGCAGAGAAAGAACTGTTCTGCTGTTTGGGAGAAATGGCTTTCAGCCTCAGGGATACTCCTAACTCATGGCATGACCTTGTATTCTAGGCCTCAGTTTCCCCAGCTGGGAAGGAATAGGTTTCCATTAAATGCTGGAGCACTAAGCAGAGGATTTTTTTTTTTTAAAGTTAGAGTTTTGCTCTGTCGCCCAGGCTAGAGTGAAGTGGCATGATCTCAGCTCACTGCAACCTTCGCCCTCCATGTTCAAGCAATTCTCCTGCCTCAGCCTCGGGAGTAGCTGGGATTATAGGCACGTGCCACCACCACCGGCTAATTTTTATATTTTTAGTAGAGACGGGGTTTCACCATGTTGGCCACGCTGGTCTCAAACTCTTGACCTCAGGCGATCCGACCACCTTGGCCTCCCAAAATTCTGCGATTACAGGCTTGAGCCACCGAGCCCAGCCTAAGCAGAGGATTTTTAAAAACCAGGGATGGAAGGGCACTGATGACTAAGGGGAAACGGGGAATCCTCATCATGAATGAGCAAGATGGGATATGGGCTTGGTCCCCAAGTCCTACCCCCAGGCGTGTTGAGGGCACGGTGGATGAAGTCAGCCGCAGAGGAGAAGTAGGCACTGATGTCGAACTCAGGGAGGTCATGGGCCGGCACCCCCAGGTAGCTCACACTGCTGCCGTAGAAATCAGGGCCGCCCTGACAGTAGAGGCCCCCGTGGGCGGCGTTCAGCACGTGGGTGATGCCCAGCTTCCACAGCTCAAAGCGGTTGTTTGCCGTGGCCCTGGGGAGGGCAGGAAGAGCACTGGATGCTGGCCAAGCCAGGGGGACCAGGAGGAAGGCTTTGCCTGGCCCCCTGCTGCAGAGGGACTGAGCCATTAGGGTCCAAAGAGAGTCCAACCCCAGCAAGCTCCAGGCTGGGTCTGACTCCACAGCCCCACGCTTTCTGGTGGAAAAGCCAGTGGTGTGTGTGTGGGAGGGGAGGAGTGGATCTTAAAACCCTCTCTCTTTTTTTTTTTTTTTTTTTGAGACAGAGTCTTGCTCTGTCGCCCAGGCTGGAGTGCAGTGGCGTGCTCTTGGTTCACCGTAACCTCTGCCTCCCGAGTTCCAGCGATTCTCCTGCCTCAGCCTCCTGAGTAGCTGAGATTACAGGTGCGCAGCACCACGCCCAGCTAATTTGTGTATTTTTAGTAGAGACGGGGTTGGTCAGGCTGATCTCGAACTCCTGGCCTCGTGATCCGCCCACCTCGGCCTCCCAAAATGCTGGGATTACAGGTGTGAGCCACTGCGCCTGGCCAAGACCCTCTTTGCTTCCTCATAGCATTTGCCCCTGCCTTGGCCAGGACAGGAAGGAAGGGATTGCTTCAGTCCTGGAACCTGGCTGCCCCTCCCTTCTTGCCCCATGTCCTCACACGCACATCCGGCCTCTGTTGGCTACCACCTCATACCTGCTTCTGAACTACAAATGTTTAAAGGCAACACCTTCTCTGATTCACCTTCAGTCAGGCTTCCCCACCATGTGTGTCCAGAAGAGGGAGGCTGGGCCCAGAAAGAGGGGCTCTCTGGCTACCCCATATCATGCCCCAAACACTATTTCCTAGGTCTCTGCCCCTAGATTCGCCAATTGTCTGGAAATGCCAGAAAATTCCTGAGGTCCCTGGGAAACTCCCTGCTTTCAGGCAAGCGAAGTCCCTGCTCCCCCTGGTGGCCATGCCTGGTCACTGCACCGTCCTCGGCATCCGGGGGTCCTGGAGAAGGTCCCTGGCCTGGGATGCTAGGAGCAGAGATATTTCTCCTTATTTCCACCCTCCTGCGTCTGGTAAAGAGACCAAGAACTGCCTCTCCTTGTCCCCACCCCCACGCCCCTTGGCCAGCTACCACTCACGCATCTCCTATGAAAAGGTTGGGCCAAACTTCGTCCACGCGATTGCAAGAAGACTTCCCTGCCCTCAGGAGCTCCTCCAGCTCCAGGATACTGGGGCAAGGCGTGGCTTTGTCATCTCCCCCCAGCTCTGGGAGCGAGGTCTCAGCCATGGGCCAGCCCGCCCACCCTCTGCCTCTGTGGTCACTCCTCTCTGCCTCTCCAGTGTCGTTTCTGCTTCCCAGAGATTGACAGGGACAGGTGGGACAGGAGCAAGTGACTCAGCAAGTCACAGGGGCCTCTGCAGAGGACAAGTCCTTTTTCTCTCCAAGCTTCCCCTCAACCCCCAAACTCCATGAGAACATGGAATCAGAGAGAACTCTGCACCGAACCTCCCTGAACCTCAGTTTTTTCATCTGTAAAGTAAGGATAATCACACCTACCTCAGAGAATTTGAGGATTAAATGAAACAAAGGACATGCTGTGTCTGACACACAGCAAGTGCTTAGAAACATCTGTGGAGTTAGTAGGTGTAGAGCCCTGCCTAAGGCTATAAGGTTCTGAGGACTGAGTTAGAGATCCAGGGTGCAGAGGAGGTGGCTAGTTCCAAGGATGAATGGTAGAAAGAACTGAAAGAACTGTATAGTCAGCCGGGCTTGGTGGCCCACTCCTGTAATTCCAGCACTTTGGGAGGCCGAGGCGGGCAGATCACAAGTTCAGGAGTTTGAGACCATCCTGGCCAATATGGCAAAACGCCGTCTCTCCTAAAAATATAAAACTCAAAAATTAGCCGGGTGTGGTGGCAGGCACCTGTAGTTCCAGCTACTCGGGAGGCTAAGAAAGGAGAATTGTTTGAATCCAGGAGGCAGAGGTTGCAGTGAGCCAAAATCACACTGCAGCACTCCAGCCTGGGTGACAGAGCAAGACTGTGTCTCAAAAAAAAAAAAAAAAAAAAAGAACTGTATCATCTAAGTGGGCCACACATTGGGTAGGAGCTGGATTGGATGTCTTTTGGATGAGTCTCTGAATTGTGGAGGTCAGGGACAGTTTTCTGAGTTGCAGAGTCAGAGATATATGGGTAAGAGACATGGAGGGCTTCATTTAAACGGTGCCTGCAAGATTCATGGGCAGAGGTGCTTTTTTTTTTTTTTTTGGAGACAGGGTCTCACTCTGTCAAGCAGGCTGGAGTGCAGTGGCACCATCTTGGCTCACTGCCACCACCACCTTCTGGATTCAAGAGATTCTCCTGCTTTAGCCTCCCGAGTAGCTGGGATTATATATGCCGTGCTAATTTTTGTATTTTTAGTAGAGATGGGGTTTTGCGATGTTGACCTGGCTGGTCTCAAACTCCCAGCCCCAAAGGATCCGCCTGGCTCAGCCTCCCAAAGTGCTGGGATTACAGGTGTGAGCCACCGCCCTGGGCCAATGGGGGAAGGTTTGAACAATGATCCTGTAATGAAGATGGCTGACTTCTCAGAAGAAAAGGCTGAAGAGGACCTTGTATGTCAAACAGGGAGAAGGGAGGTGTGTGTTGCCCTAGACTTTGAGAGCCAAAGGGGCTGACTGTCATCAGAAACATTTTGAGGGTGGGAGGGAGATTCCTCTGCCTATAAGGGCTTTGGGTCCCAAAATAGAAACTGAGAAAGGTCAACCTGTCCTTCTGCCAGAACTGGTTATCAGAAAAGAGATAAGATATCTCTCGCCTTCTCTCATGTGACTTCTCAGTGGCCCTGATGGACCTGGGAAGGATATGAGCTGCAGTGCGGAGGTTCCCAGCTGCCCTTGGCCTTAAGACCAGTTTCAAGGGAAAGGCCATACCAGGGCATCCCATGGAAGCGGTCTGCACTCGGATCCACCCCAGAACCTGCTTCCATCCCCTTCAGAACCACTGAAGTCAGCCTGGCACTGTGTGGGGAAGCAAGGCCAAAGAGGGGCTTGTGTCCAGATTACTGCTGGCTTTGGACTCGGTTTATGCCAATGCTAGGCCTGGCTTGAAAGGAAGCCTTCCCTCAGGGTGGCACAGCATGGTGGAGTGAGGAAAATATAGGTTCTGATGTTAGAGAGATTTGGGCTGGAATATCAGTTTGCAATACATCAGGCAATATGTTTCTTTTATATATATATATATATATATTTTTTTTTTTTTTTTAGACTAGTCAAGTGCAGTAGTGAGAAGGGGGAAAAGAGTAGAACAAGGAGTTCGATCTGTAACTGACTGTGAACAATCAGTTGATATAACGCACTACCTTCGGACCAGCCGGCAATATGTTTCTTGACCTTTCTGTGTTGTATGATCCCCCTTGCAGAATTAGCACAAGGATTTTTTTTTTTTTTTTTTTTTTTTTGAGATGGAATTTCACTCTTGTTGCCCAGGCTGGAGTGCAATGGCGGGATCTTGGCTCATTGCAACCTCCACTTCCCGGGTTCAAGCGATTCTCCTGCCTTAGCCTCCTGAGTAGCTGGGATTACAGGTGTGCACCATCACGCCCGACTAATTTTTGTATTTTTAGTACAGACGGGGGTTTCACCATGTTGGCCAGGCTGGTCTCGAACTCCTGACCACAGGTGGTCCACCTGCCTCGGCCTCCCAAAGTGCTGGGATTACAGGCGCGAGCCGCCACGCCTGGCCTTAGCACAAGGATTAAATGAGATGTTTATACTGCATTTGGCATAGACACTGTCAAAGAATAAAAGGACAGTAAATTATAACAATGATCATTGGCTATTGGAGAATTGCTGGCTCTCTCCAGAGGAATTAATATAACGTCCTTCAACGCCTTAACCCCATTTACTAATCCCACAGGCCCCGCCCCACCTCCGCTAGCCCCGCTTCCTCCTCTAGCTTTGGCCTCCACCATGACGCATGCGCCCGCGGGCTCCCCCGCGGCTGCTGCTCTTGGCTCTCCTCTGTGGCAGATCTGGAGCCTCGGGTCTTTTCCAGTGTAGGCCCCGCCCCCGCTGGTAGAACCCCGCCCCCAGGCGGTAGGGCCCCGCCTCCCGAAGCAGTTCCGGTTCGGCTCAGAGGAGCTGCCGGTGCGGCGGTGACGGCGGCCGGGGCGATGTCTGCGCGCAGCCGCCACCGCCCCCGCCTCCACTCCGGCTCCCCGCCCCGAGCTCCGCCCCCGCCACTTGGGGCACTTCACTCCGGCGAGGCGGGGAGGGCCCCGGACTCCGACGGCGGCTCGGACGCCGACTCGGAGGTGGGTCCGGGGAACCCGACTCGGACCGCGGAGGTGAGCGGGAGCTGAGGCTGAGGAGAGGGGAGCTTGGGGGGCGCCTGCTGCCAAGGGTGAGTGGGGAGTCTGGAATGGAGCTGGGGGCTGCCGAGGGACTGCGACCCAGAGGGGTCCCGGGGAGACGGTTGAGGGAGCGGGGAGACTCAGCTTTGGAATGGAATCTGAAGGAAATGGAGGTTGTCGAACCGAGGGCCTAAGGCTGAGGGGTAAGTGGAGGCCGAGGAGCAAGAGGGAGGGGGTGGGAGGAGGTGGCTTGAAGAGCCCAGAGCTTGGGGGCTTTTGAAAGCAGCGCAGTGGGGGAGGAAGATCGAAGGGGTCCTGCGGAAATGTGCACCCGGAGAAAGAGATGGATGCTCTGAATTTGGCAGCGGGGGTGAGGAGAGGAGCAAGACCTGGGCCAGTGTTCCCTTTCCAGAGCGAGGGAGGGGGATCAGTGCTGGGACTGGAGCCCTCTGACCCGGCTGGGGCTGGTGGTGATGGAGGGCAGGACTTAGGTTTGACTGGAAGGAGGAACGGCTATCGGATGGGAACGTTTGGCCTCAAGGGGTGAGGGAGGCATTGAAAAAGAGAAGTGTGGTCAAGAAAGAAAAGGAGCCCTTGAGGATCTAATTTTGGGCTTTGGCATTTTAACAGGTGCCTTTCAAAACATCAAAGATCACTAGGGCAATGTACTTGGATTGTGGGGCTTTCTCATTCGTGCACAGTGGATCCTTTTAATAATCTGGGGTGGAAGGGGGCGGTGTGAATCACTGATTTGCCTAAAGGACTGGGGGAAGTAGTGGAGAGGAAGTGATGTTTGAAGAAGGTAGTAAAAGACGTGATTCTGAAAATGAAGATACCATTTGGATTTATTGACAGTAATGGTATTCTTCTTCTTCTCTCTTTCTCTCTCTCTCTCTTTTTTTTTTTTTTTTGTATTTCTTTCATAAGTTTAAATACCAGACGCGCTAAGATCCTAAAAAAGATTTACTACATTACCTTTAAGTTTTAAAAATTAAACTTGAAACAAGAATTTGGACACTTGGATTTTAAAAATTAAATATGAAACAAGAATTTAGACACTTGGATTTTACAGATACTCAATATTGATTGGTTCCACTTTCACAGTTTGAGTTGACAACATGTATTTGCCATATGGTAAAAATATGGTCAATGCAAGTTTCTGGGTTAAGGGGTCACAGGTGAACTCGCCACAGTCTAGGCGGAATACCAAATCTTCCTCTCACTGATCAAACTCCAGGATTGGAGTTGTCTCTTGAAAATTGGAGATGTACTTTTGATAGATTTGCAAAACCAATATTCAAATACCATTGAATTATTTATTTATTTATTTATTTATTTATTTATTCTTCTTTGAGACAGAGTCTCACTGTCGCCCGGGCTGGTGTGCAGTGGCACAATCTCGGCATGCAACCGTCGCCTTTTGGGTTCAAGCAATTCTCCTGCCTCAGCCTCCTGAGTAGCTAGGATCACAGGCGCCCGCTACCATGCCCGGATAATTTTTTGTGTTTTTAGTAGAGACGGGGTTTCACTACGTTGGCCGGGCTGGTATCGAACTCCTAACCTCGTGATCCGCCCGCCTGGGCCTCCCAAAGTGCTGGGATTACAGGCCAGAAAAATAATGATTGCAATATTTATATTTACTTTAGTAGAGATAAATTCACTTCCTTTTGTGATAGTTTAGTCATAACATGGCTCCATGAAGTCTTGTTTGACTTTAGTCACGTCTTGTATGTTTTACAACTTTTTATGTGATTATAGGTTTGTAAAGTTGTTGCCCATTTCTTTTCCTTCTTTCTTTCTCTTTTTTTTTGAGACAGAGATTCGCCATGTTGCCCAGGCTTATGCGATCCACCTCAGCCTCCCAAGTAGCTGGGAGTAGCTGGGACTGCAGGTGGGCGTCACCACACCTGCCTAATTTTTGTGTATGTATGTGTGTGTATATATATGAGACAGAATTTTTAATCAAGCATATTCTAAATGCTTGATTAAATCTAAACGGATATCTACTGTTTAATCTTCATGAGATGATAATTTATTGATTGGCAACAACTTTTAAATTAGTTTATGTGTATAGACTGTGTGACATACCCTCATATGCACAGTGGAATAGTAATTGTTTTTTCAAAGGAGATGTGAATTCTTAGCTTTGTTTTTAGCTGAGATTGTTAAAGTATTAATTACCTTTAACTTAATAAAAATTATCTTTAGTTGAAGTTTACATAATATTACATAGTATTACTGTTTACTTGTTTTATGTCTAGAATGAGATCCTCTGGAGACCTTGTCTTCAAGGTCTTAGTTCTGAATAAAAGTCATGGCACGTAAAACTTTGCTGAATTGCAGTACAAGAACTCTATTAAGATTACATCTTAATGTTATTGCAAAATTAAAGAGAAACTGTTAGATGGGGTTGTACAATTAATATATTCGCATGTCTAATAGTTTTTTAATTTTAGTTTCCCTTTGTCTGTTCTCACAGCCATTAAGTAAAGAAAATCAGTTTTAGGCCAGGCGTGGTGGTTCATGCCTGTAAGCCCAGAACTTTGGGACGTGAGGAGGGCGATCACTTGAGGTCAGGAGTTCAAGACCAGCCTGGTCAAAATGGCAAAACCCCATCTCTACTAAAAATACAAAAATAATTAGCTGAGTATGGTGGTGCATGCCTTTAATACCAGCTACTGGGGAGTCTGAGGCAGGAGAATCTCGCACCTGGGAAGCAGAGGTTGTGATGAACTGAAATCATACCACTGCACTCCAGCCTGAGTGACAGTGATATGGCTCAAAAAAAAAAAAAAGAATCAGTTTTATAGTAGAGCAGTTTCTCTAAGGCAGGAGAAGCCATCATGACTGCGATGGCAGAATATGCAGACATATTTAGGTAAGTCAGTTTTTATTTCAGTAGCATACTCCCCATTCTGCAAAAGCTTATTCACATTGCACAGTTGCTGGTAAACATTTTTATTTTGTTAATCATTAGATCCTCAATCCTTCTTTAAAACTTTGCTGTTACTGATTGCGATATTTTCAAGGCTTTTCTAAGAATTGGAATTTGAACACTTTTTTTGAGAAACTTAAATAATAGATGTTTCCATGAATAGTATTATTACTGTTTTATAAGAAAGCCATATTAACGAGCCATTCTTTCAAGATTTTACTTCCAGGCCTGATGTAATACATGGTGTTAATTACTGGGTGTACCTAGCATGCCCGTTAATTTGTGGAGGGAAATCTTTCCTGTCTTCAGATTCTGCCCCCTTCACTTTTCATATGGCAGTGGATTGTTAATGAACTCACTAAGATTGAATTCACTTTTTAATTTTAAAGCTTCTGTAGCTTTGATTCTCTTTGGACATCAAACTGATTTATGTGAGGTATGAATATAATTCTGCTAAATTACCTATGAAGCTCTTTTGAATGATTGTAGTATTTGGTGAAAAAATACAGTTTGAACTAATCATATATTTTTTTTCCTTGAGATGGAGTCTTGCTCTGTTGCCCAGGCTGAAGGGCAGTGGTGTGATCACGGCTCACTGCAACTTCTGCCTCCTGGGTCCAAGCGATTCTCATCCCTCAGCCTCCTGAGTAGCTGGGATTACAGGCACGTGCCACCACATCCAGTTGTTTTTTTATTCTTAGTAGAGATGGGATTTCACCACGTTGGCCAGGCTGGTCTGTACCTCTTGGCCTCGTGATCTACCCGCCTTAGCCTCCCAAAGTACTGGTATTACAGATGTGAGCCACCTCACCCGGCCTCATAATTCTTTTAAAATGGATTTAGGTTATAGAGGAGGACTGCACCATTTCGTTCCCAGATTAAATGTTTTACTTTTTTGCAGAAATGACAGTGGGAGAGCCTCGATTATTTTTACATCTCTCATGTGTTTATATTTAATTACAAATAAAGTTTTACTTATTTGCAAAATGCTGTATCTTTAATATTTGCCTGCATGTGGTTTTGGGGATTCTTTTGGAATCATTTTTGTTCTTGTTTTTGTTTTACTGTATGGGTAGGAGGTAACACATTGAGGAGTTCATAGTAGAGCAAGAACAGAGAAAGCCATTTGACAACAGATATCATCATCAGGACGTGATGCTTACTTTAGGTCTTGTGGTTTTCTTGGCCTTGAGAAATCAAGATGTTAACTAAAAATAGGAACTCATGGGCCAGGCACACTTGGAAAACAAATTGGTGTTTATATGCTGCCGCTGTTGTTTCCTGGTAATTTACCATCTGAATGTGTGGATATGGATTTGTAACAGACCTGAGGTGTGAATATTCCTGTACTCCCTGCTCCTATACACACAGCACCATCATCACAGATCTGAAGCCTTTTAGCTGAGTTTAGTGACTTCGTGTCTTTGTATTGAAATGTTCTGTTACTTCACTATGTACTGGGCCCTCTCAGTAATATAGAGTATAACATACTATGAGACTTTTAACTAAGAAAAACTTGGTTATAATAGTTTCAACACAGTGTTTCCCATAAAACAGTGTTTTATGATATGTACCTCAGAAAAGACTGTTGTGGGGGCAGAACAGTGAACTATATTTATATTTGTCTAAAAGTTTTGTTTTGTTTTGTTTTGTTTTTTAAAGATAGGGTCTCACTCTGTCTCCCAGGCTGGAGTGCAGTGGCACAATCGTGGCTCATGCAGCCACAAACTCCTGGGCTCAAGCAGTCCTCCTGCCTCAGCTTTCTGAGTAGCTGGGACTATAGGCATGTGCCACCACACCTGGATAATTTTTTTTATTTTCTTTTGTAGAGATGGGGTGTCAGCTTTGTTAACCAGGCTGGTTTTGAACTCCTGGCCTCAAGCGATCCTCTCACCTCAGCTTCCCAAAGTGCTGGGATTCCAGGTGTGAGGGTCTTAAATTTTTGTTGTACATTTAGGTAAGCTTATGAGTTGTAGCAGAGGACGAGAGTGGTAGTGACGTAAGTATCATCTTGATTGATACTTGTTCTGTTGTCTTGAAATTCTTGACAGATAAATTC